TTACAATGCCCAGACTGACCACCGATTTCCTGTCTGCTCTAGGCTTGTCTACATTCCTGATCTGGATCCTCAGAAGTCAATCTCTCTCTCACACACACTCATATACACACGCACGCACGTGCACACACACACACACACACACACACACACACACACATAGGTTAGGCATCATGGTTTCCAAAAGGATATTTTTTCACGGGTGGGGGTGATTCAGAGAGAGTGTTACATCGAGAGAGTAATGAGTGAGAGAGTGGCCATGGGTAGGAGGCAGCAGCAAGCTGTGACACAGGAGACGTTCTTGTGGGCGCGCTGAGCCCTGGGGCTGCAGCCACACTCAGCTCTTTGTTGTTTTCTCTCTGTGCGAAGCGAGGCAGAGTACTTTCCTGAGCCGGCCGGGGGATTAGTGTTACACGGCCTCTTTCTCCAGCTGCACACATGACCAGCGCCACATGAGAGCCTCTAAAGACAGCCTAAAAGAGGAGTGAGGGGTGAGAGGAAGGGAGAGAGAGAGATGAACGTCCGGTTTCTCACACAGTGAGGAATGTTGCAAGCCACGCAAGTTCTCCAAACATCACAGTGCAGCTCCTCTTTCTCACTCCCACACACCCTTATGAGAAGACAGCACCACACTACCTCACCTCCCTGTGCGGTTGTCTTCCCCACCTTACACCTCCTTCTTAGTCCAGAGGCTCATCCCTTTCATCTGGCTGGCCTCCCCCCTCTCTCTGGCTGCTTGTGATTCACGCCTCCCTCCACTCTTCAGTCCCCTCAGTATTGACAAATTCAAGGGCACAAAATGTGGAAGGGTATTGGGCCCTGCCTCAAGCTCATGTAGTGAATGAAAGAACCAGAGTTTTGTAGGTGATATGGGTTCTCGGTGTGGGTACATTTCCTCATCACAAGGTATATGAGTTAAACGTGCAGTAGAGTAGACTATAGTAGACTATACCTATGCCTCATTGCTCCAAGCTGCAGTGGGCTGCTGGCGGTCAACACTGGCAGGATTTCAATGATTTGCTGTTCAGGCAGCAACCAATCACATGTTCATTCTCTGCACTCAGAATGTGATAGGCCGCAAACTACCCTTGGGATACAAGGAAAATGGACATAGTCATTATCTAGATATAACATACACTCCCATTCAAAAGTTTGGGGTCACTTAGACATTTCCTTGTTTTCCATGAAACCATACATGAAATGAGTTTGAATAGGAAATATAGCAAAATGAATAGGAAATGTAGTCATTGACAAGGTTAGAAATAATGATTTTTAATTGAAATAATAATTGTGTCCTTCAAACTTAGCTTTCGTCAAATAATCCTCCATTTGCAGCAATTACAGCCTTGCAGACCTTTGGCATTCCAGTTGTCAATTTGTTGAGGTAATCTGAAGAGATTTCACCCCATGCTTCCTGAAGCACCTCCCACAAATTGGATTGGCTTGATGGGCACTTCTTACGTACCATACGTCAAGCTGCTCCCACAACAGCTCAATAGGGTTGAGATCCGGTGACTGTGCTGGCCACTCCATTAAAGACAGAATACCAGCTGACTGCTTCTTCCCTAAATAGTTATTGCATAGTTTGGAGCTGTGCTTTGGGTCATTGTCCTGTTGTAGGAGGAAATTGGCTCCAATCAAGCGGCATCCACAGGGTATGGCATGGTGTTGCAAAATGGAGTGATAGCCTTCCTTATTCAAGATCCCCTTTACCCTGTACAAATCTCCCCCTTTACCATCACCAAAGCACCCCCAGAACATCACATTGCCTCCACCATGCTTGACAGATGGCATCAAGTACTCCTCCAGCATCTTTTCATTTAGTCTGCGTCTCACAAATGTTCCTCTTTGTGATCCAAACACCTCAAACTTCGATTTGTCTGTCCATAACACTTTTTCCAATCTTCCTCTGTCCAGTGTCTGTGTTCTTTTGCCCATCTTAATCTTTTATTTTTATTGGCCAGTCTGAGATATGGCTTGTTCTTTGCAACTCTGCCTAGAAGGTCAGCATCCCGGAGTCGCCTCTTCACTGTTGACGTTGAGACTGGTGTTTTGCTGGTACTATTTAATGAAGCTGCCAGTTGAGGACCTGTGAGGCGTCTGTTTCTCAAACTAGACACTCACTAATGTATTTGTCCTCTTGCTCAGATGTGCACCAGGGCCTCCCACTCCTCTTTCTATTCTGGTTAGAGCCAGTTTGCGCTGTTCTGTGAAGGGAGTAGTACACAGCATTGTACGAGATCTTCAGTTTCTTGGCAATTTCTCGCATGGAATAGCCTTCATTTCTCAGAACAAGAACAGACTGACGAGTTTCAGAAGAAAGTTATTTGTTTCTGGCAATTTTGAGCCTGTAATCGAACCCACAATTGCTGATGCTCCAAATACTCAACTAGTCTCAAGAAGGCCAGTTTTACTGCTTCTTTAATCAGCACAACAGTTTTCAGCTGTGCTAACATAATTGCAAAAGGGTTTTCTAATGATCAATTAGCCTTTTAAAATGATAAACTTGGATTAGCAAACACAACGTGCCATTGGAACACAGGACTGATGGTTGCTGATAATGGGCCTCTGTATGCCTACGTAGATATTCCATAAAAAATCAGCCGTTTCCAGCTACAATTGCCATTAACAACATTTACAATGTCTACACTGTATTTCTGATCAAGGACATTTCTAAGTGACCCCAAACTTTTGAACAGTAGTGTGTTTACGGTATCTAATGGCATTTAACTAACAAAGCTCATCCACCTCTTAATTGACTACATCCACTGTACATGCCACAGTGACTAGCTGATTGTGGCCCTCAAATGAATGGCACAAGCCGTTAAACCTACATTATGAAATATCTAACGCTAACATTATAGCCAAACCCAATGATAGAGCTCCATCTAGTGGGAGAATACAAATCTAATTTGTTGCCGGGAAATAAGATTAAGATACCTTTATTTGTATATTGTACACAAGGTCCAACCCCTCCCAAAGACAAACAAACCATAATTGAGCATCATGGTGAGACCACTGAATTGGTGCAAGTATATTATGCTGATCTTGGCCCAGCTCTGTCCTTAAAATCAGGACAGCGTTGTCTCACAAGTCAGACAGTTGTTTCTGAAATATCCCATACAACTTTTAGAGCAGCGTAGCACAAATATATAAGACTGGAATTCTAGGCTAGTGTAGTTGCAGGTTCTGTAACTGCTTCAAATAATGTAATAAATATTTGAATTGGTTGGCAGCAATAAGAACAACAGCTTTAATGTACAGTTTGCTGTAAAAAGGGACCTGGGTGAGCCAACATGATGGTACGAATCAGGTGGAATAATAGGAATTAAAAATGTTCCACAGTTGTATTAAAAGGTGCATTTAGTAGGTTTCATTGTTGCTATCAAAACATCAGCAAAAATCTCTGACATGAATAGGATACATGCAAGACTAAAACTGTATAAGATATTCTTATTGTTAACATTTCAAAGCCTTCAGATGAATTGTAAAAGCACATATTCGAGCATCAAAATGAAATAAAACAGTGAAACCCACAACTTTAATAATCATGTTTATTACACAGTTTAATTAACACAAGCTCCATGAGCTCTCGGGTAATTAAATATACAGAAGTTTGTCGGTCTGGAACTCAAGTCCTTGAGTCTAGGGTTCTGAGATCCAGCCAATGAGTCATTTGAGCTAAGTCAACAATGGCAGCTCAAATATACAAAGTGTGAATATAGAATAATGAGGTCACATTTTTTATTAATGAAAATAACTGAAAATACACCCCAATCAGATCGTTTCCTTTAACTTAGCCCACTTGAGGGTAGACAGTTCAACTATCATATTTGTCTAGTCTAATGCTACTGATGCTTAAAATATTTTAGAGCTCGTTTTTCGGAGTTGCCTTCAAACATTCTTTATTACTAATGTCAAATCTTTGTCCTTTCAGGCTGGACTTGAAACCAAAGAGAAAGTAGATAAAATGGATCATCATGCTGGATTAATACCATTTCAACTACTTGTACCTTATCTGCCTAACTTGGATGAAAACTAACTTTGGCTGTTTCCAAATCAGACCTACACCAAAAATAAAGATTTGCCACCATTGAGAGAAAAATAATTTGATGAAGGCTCAAAGGGCGATCTAAAAGGGGACTATTTTCTTTCTTTAGCAAAAACAAGGTGTATTTCATTTGACTAAGTTGAGGGAAAACAGTAATTTGGATGTTATATTCAGATACTATCAATAGATATGTCTCATTATTCTATTGTCCCACTTCATACAGTGTGGATGGGTCCACGGGTACTTAACTACCATCTTAATGATAGTGATTAATATTGTGGTGGGGCTGTGAGGCAGGATCCTGGGCATCCGGTTGCCAAACAGAGAAAGTACCCTAGAGGCTTCCAGAACCATAGTGACAGATTGAAAGCTATTTCTTATCATAGCCAAAAACACTCTCCAAGCCCCATCTCTACCCACCCTTACCATCATCTCACGGGATAGCTGGAAGCACAGAGGTAGAAAAAAAAAGAAGACATAAAATCCCTCAATCTTGGGAAAGCAAACCTCGGGTTCATAAAAAATAAGGAATGCTTCTTGGAATCAAATAAGAGTGGTCCTACATGGGTGCTGGTGGACATACTGGCAGAAACAGACAATGGGGTATATAATATGCAGTCTGAAATATGTACAACACCGCAGTTGAACAGGTTTTTAAGGGGGTGAGGCAGGGGGAAGGAGGTGAAGTGCGTAGGGAGAGGGAGGGTGTGGCTCAAAGAAATCACTCCAATGGGAACCAACAAGACTTTTTTCCTCTTTTCGTTCAAAGCTCCCCAAGCCTTTGAATATAAAGGCAGATTCTCTGCTGTTATGCCTTGAGACTACATTGCATATTTCTGTGTCCATTCCCGGGCTATTCTGTTGTATCTGGAATGACAGGAGGATAAAAATCACTTTCCTTGTAGCAGACAGGTTGTACAAACCTTTGTTGAATGTTGAAAGTGTGTAAGACCTACTTTTCCCTGTCTGTCTTGTAGATGCGGGCGATCTCAGGCACTAGTGGGTCGTCTGGGTTTGGGTCACAGAGAAGTGAGCAGATGGACAGGAGGACTGTAGGACAACCAACAACAAGAGTCACCACAGTTCTTACAATCTATTCTGACAATCAATGTAAATCTCTGACCTCTTACTGAGCATAGTTTGGGACATACTTACCAGAATCTGTTGTGAAAACTCAAACCATACTGGTTTAAACCAACCAAAACAAATGATATTGACCCACATACAAACATAAACCAAGAGTACCATTTTGGACTTACCTTTGGAGATGGTGAGTGCTGGCGACCACTGCGACCTCAGGATGTCCAAGCAGATGCTGCCATTGCTGTTGATGTTTGGGTGGTAGATTCTTGTGGTGAATGCAACCTTTAGAGAGGACACATGTTTTTACTGTATCTTGCAAATGTATTACATTTACACCATCTCCTTTACCACACTGACGAGACATCTCATGTACTGAAAACAAAACAAACAGTCATGAATTATGGAATTTTATGATCAATGTAGGTCTAGCTCACAGCTACATTAAAAGTCTGCCCACAAGTTTAACGCAATTCTGAGTTCCAGGAGACGTCCTTACCTTTGGTGGTTTGAAGGGATAGTCAGTGGGGAAGTGAATGGTCAAGAAGAAAACGCCGCCCTGATACGGACTGTCATTCTGTAGAAAGGAAAATAGATGGTTACCATATGACCCAGAGTAAAGGCGGTGAACCCCTAAACTTTAAAGAGCAGAACAGGAGGGTATACTTACAGGTCCCATTATTGTAGCCTGCCAGTGAAACACTAGGTATGAGAGGAGAAAACTGTTTTACTACACTATGAGCACCATTACAAGTAAATCGTTTTTCAATTCAATTTCCGTGCCAAGATGCAAATGACAACTGGTGTCATTGATGAATACCAGCATCAATATTTATTGGCTCCCATCTATAGGCTACATTTCATTGTCAACGGTATTCTTGGAGTCAAATCCTGTTTTCTATTATTAAAAAGGATATGAACCATCAAGAATATTGATTGAAATAGGTGGCGTTAAAGATCTACTTTGGATGGTGAAAGTCATTTGTGGGTGGTGGTGTTGAGTGAGAGGTTGAGGTTACTTACTGTCATCTCCCACTGGTCCTGCGGAGCACTGTGCTGGAGGGTCACGAGCCAAATCATTTAACTCCTAGGGAAAAATAAGAGAGTTGTAATTTCTTCCCAAAAAGTATAATACTTCCATGAACAGTTCCTGTATTGTATCAGTAATTCAGACAAACTGCATACCATGTTTCCAATGCTGAATGTGGGCTGGTAAGTAGTAGGCTAGGCTCATATATATCTTCTGGCAACAAATCTATCAAGATGTAACTAATTTCAAGGACTACAAACAACATTGTGGTCAGATCTGTCTAGTCCGGGATAGTGGGATTCCTGTTTACTACTGAGCATCGTTTCCCACCATAACAGAAAATCAGTGTAATGTCCTTATTGAAACAGAAATAGTACTAGATTTAGAATAGCATTGACGGATAAATATTTTCCTTTCAAAGAAGTCTAACAATCTGTCAACATCAATCGTTTTCATGGATCATTGATCAGCCAGTGTCAGATGAAGGCAAAAGAGCATACAGTAACTTCATTTTGAACCTGAAGACAATGGTAAAACAGTTTTATAGCTAGTTACAGTAGCTAACTGGTTTGTTCCAAGTTAAGTTGCTGAAGTAGCTACTGGCATGAGACAGGTCAGGACCATGGTAGGTATGCCAAACATGATTTTATTTGCATAAAGTGAACGATACCGGCAGCTGATGTTCATTTGTTTACTACAAGGAAGTAGTAGGTAGTACTAGCTAGCAAGGAAATAACAGGTCTAGCTATGGACATTCCCGAAAAACGTTAGCTAGCTAGTTACACTTGGCAAGCTATGATTAAAGCTAGCTTACTATTTAGCCAAACTACCTATATATATTTAACTAGCTACCACCGCCAGTATGCTACCTAACTAGCTAGCTACATCATTAGCTAACGTTAGTAAGCTAAAGGTAGCTTGCTAATCAAACTAGCTAACGTCGTTCCCTAGCTAGCTAGTAGCCAATAACTCCTAGTTAACGTCGTTAGTTAGCTTGTTAGCCAGCTAGCATAGCGCACTGTTATCGATGTCATCTGCCGCTTAACTGTGCTAGCTAACTGGCTAGTAGTCAGCTAACTAACGCTAGTTTTCAAAAGCAAATTAATCTGATTAGAAGTTAGCCACTGAGCAGGCGGTCGATTAGGAAAGTGGTCTAAATTTGGGCTAACATGCTGTCTTGCTGTAGTAGCCTAGCTCGTAAATGTGCCTAAAAAGCGGAGGCCAAAAGCGGCTAACTATTAGTTAGCACGGAAGCTAGCTAGCTAGAGCAGCAAGAACCTTACTTCCTTACCTTATGAATTCTTTTCAGGGCCATTGTTTTGTTCGTGCCGCTGTCAATGTATGGTCGGTTTCCTTCTGCGAAATAACTATTATTGCCCCTCCACACAGATTTTACCCCCTGAGTTAAAATTAGCTAGCTAAGTTTTTTAATTGTTGTCTTACAGTACAATGCGGCGACTGAGTAGCGGAGTAGTCTAGCGAAACTGAAATACAGTGCGCTTCACCCGGTTCCTCCTAGCAGCTGTGGGCAGTGGGCACCGCATCACTTCTCGGTAAGCTGTGATGCAATCGTCTGCTTGCGACACGCCACATCCGCTGGAAACCATGAGACAGGTTAGAGCTATGCAACTGACATAATTTCTGAGTATTTAGGCTACATACCTCCACTAGTTCCTCCCATTTATGTGGAATATGAATCCATCATTTGATTAATTTGTGCTATATTTTCTAATGATTAGCTATATGTCTAAATAGGATAGCCTACTTTTATCCTCCGCTGTCTTCAACCAGGATCTCAGCAATCACTGCCTTATTGCCTGCGTCCTTAACGGGTCCGCGGTCAAACGACCACCCCTCATCACTGTCAAACGCTCCCTAAAACACTTTAGCGAGCAGACCTTCCTAATTGACCTGGCCCAGGTATCCTGGGTGGATATCAATCTCATTCCGTCAGTAGAGGATGCCTGGTTGTTCTTTAAAAGTGCTTTCCTCTCAATCTTAAATAAGCATGCCCCATTCAAAAAATTCAGAACTAAGAACAGATATAGCACCTGGTTCTCCTCAGACTTGACTGCCCTTGACCAGCACAAAAACATCCTGTGGCGTACTGCATTAGCATCGAATAGCCCCCGCGATATGCAACTTTTCAGGGAAGTTAGGAACCAATATACACAAGCAGTTAGGAAAGCAAAGGCTAGCTTTTTAAAACAGAAATTTGCATCCTGTAGCCCACCCAACTACCTCATCCCCATATTGTTATTTATTTTGCTAATTTGCACCCCAGTATCTCTATTTGCACATCATCTCTTGCACATATATCATTCCAGTGTTAATACTACATTGTAATTATTTTGCACTATGGCCTATTTATTGCCTTACCTCCATAACTTACTACATTTGCACACACTGTATATATATTTTCTGTTGTATTTTGGACATTATGTTTTGTTTTACCCCATATGTAACTCTGTGTTGTTGTTTTTTATCGCACTGCTTTGCTTTATCTTGGCCAGGTCGCAGTCGTAAATGAGAACTTGTTCTCAACTGGCTTACCTGGTTAAATAAAGGTGAAATAAAATAAAAATAAAATAAATCCATACGTAGGCCTACCCATGTCATTGTCAACTTTATATTCAGATATAATAACTGTGGAACCATATGTGCAAGGCATGGACCTGCAACCTCATAGCTGTCTAAAAGAAATAGGCCTATAGAGATTGTTTCATTGGTTTCAGCGCTTTCTATTGTTCATGTAGTATGCATAAGGTTACATCATAGAACTTTTTGCCAAGCACACACATTTCTATAACTATCACAAAGTCCTAGCCCATCATGCCTGAAAAATCACAGGTGAAGAGAAGACCCACCAATGAGCGACTTCTGTTGTAGACATAGGCCTACATGGGAATGAGCAGTAGTGGAAAAAATACCCAATAATCATACTTGAGTAAAAGTAAAGATACCTTAATAGAAAATGACTCAAGTAAAAGTGAAAGTCACCCAGTAAAATACTACTTCAGTAAAAGTCTAAAAGTATTTGGTTTTAAATATGCCTAAGTATCGAAAGTAAAAATAAAAGGATAAGTCATTTCAAATTCCTTATATTAAGCAAATCAGACGACACAATTTTATTTTATTTTTATGTACTGATAGCGACGGGCACACTCCAACACTCAGACATCATTTACAAACGAAGCATTTGTGTTTAGTGAGTCCACAAGATCAGACGCATTAGGGGGGATGACCAGGTTCGTTCTATTGATAAGTGCATGAATTGGACCATTTTCCTGTCCTGCTAAGCATTCAAAATGTAACGGGTACTTTTGGGTGTCAAGGAAAATGTATGGAGTAAAAAGTAAATTATTCTCTTTAGGAATGTAGTGAAGTAAAAGTAAAAGTTGTAAAAAAATATATAAATAGTTAAGTACAGATACACCCCAAAAAAACTACTTAGGTAGTACTTTAAAGTAGTAGTACTTTTAAGTACTTTCTACTTAAGTACTTTACAACACTGGGAATGAGTAAGGCATCCCAGCCAAGTTGTTTGAGCTAAGTCATCAAAATTCGTTTCATTAGATGGATTCTTATGAGTTACAAATTGTAGAAATGACTGGAACAAAAATAAAATGTCATGGCCAATATGGCCACATTATAGGCTGCACTGTATGTCTACCACCTGCCTATAATGTAAATTGTAAATGCTATTGTAAAGCGTGTCCTCAATATACAGGTAGGTCTATAGGCTAAATTAGGGTAGACCTTCAATGTTCATGATCGAATCATAGGCTACCTGTCTCTGGCCTGCTTAAAAGATAGTTGGGATAAATAAAAAATAGTCTTCCAGTGCTTGTGACACCACAGCCCAGTGTGTTGTTGAAGGTGGCAAAACAAGTTGTCTGTCTTTTGTAACTTACATTTTAGAATCCGCAGTAAATCTAGCCTGCGGGAAGGTGCCCTACCTGCGCGCAAACATTCAGCTTATGCACAGCGCTGCGATGAGCGCGAAATGGTCGCTGGTTTCAGAACCACCGCCACTGAACAGCGCCGCGCTCTGGCAGCTCATATAATGAGAAGATTCATTCAATGCACCTGTTGTTGGGCTGTGGCTGCAGGAAAGCCTTCTTCTGTTAGACTTCCCCTTTCCGCTGATAGGCCTACTGATCCCAGATTATTTGGCATCCAGACACATTTGGTCTGAGACAGAACAGTTTGTGCAACCACATGCCATGGTTCTTTGAACATTTCCAGGAAATTTGCTGTGTTGATTGGTTAGGTATTCATTGTGTTCTTGTCACAAACACACACACACACACACACACACACACAATTTTTGGTTTGTCATCTCATCTATTGATGTCACTTGTTCTCCCATAGGTCTCTCTGAATATTTGAAAATGTTGGAGAAATAACATCTCACACAAAAATCAATGACAATGTTTTGCCCCAGGAACCTTCACTGATACAGCCATACTAAATACAGTACAGACCTATGCGTCTCAGGCCACTTCCCCACCCCTTCAGCAAGTGCATAGAATAGAAAAACATGGCGCGTGCGTGTTTTTGGGAAACCCCGGCTTTGCCTCCACCTGATGGCAGCATCAGGCAGCCCCGTGAAACATTTGCGTAGGAGTTCCCCTCAACGCCATGTCGGGGTGGTGCAGCGCGCAGTGAGGATCTCCTGAGCAGAGCTCTCTCTCTCTCTCTCTCTCTCTCTCTCTCTCTCTCTCTGCCACCCCCTCCCAATTCGTTCCCTCCATCCTTCCCCACACGACAGCTTAGCACAGCGCAGCACCCTCCTCAGCAGCATCCACCCTAACTGGGTAGCAGTTGTCATCCCAAGCGCAGGCAGTGATACACTGAGGGACGCATCCAAGTGATGCCACTGCACCAACCAAATCTCGCAACCGCGAAAACACACCGAGAATAAACAGTCACTTCCGCAAGGAGGACTACAAACGAGTTTGCCTCGAGACCGCAACTGCCCATGAAGATGTCTAACGTTGACATGGTCTTAAACGCCACGGATCGGGTAGTAAAAAGTGAGTGCATT